CGCTGCTCTTCTGTGGCTGAACAGCTGTGCAGGCATTGGTTAAAAACAAGTACTGCATTTAAGAAGGAAGCAGAGAGGCCTTAATATAATGAAGCCAATGCATTTACTCCCACAAGCGCACAGTATCATGCATGAGCTGGTGGGCCAACAATGTAACTAAGCAGTTGAAGGAGTGGGAGAGGAATTCAGCAGCAGCGCGTGCAAGATAAAAGTCAAATTCCACATATTTCAGTCCACCAACAATCCGAGGAATTCCACACATCAGAAAACACCCAGCACCTGTGGTAGCTCCCGAAGTAGGCCACGATGTTTTTGTGCTTGCACTCCTTCATCATGGTAATCTCCTGCTGGATGGGGGTGATGTCATCACCTGAGCACACAGACAGCACAGCGAGGGTTTACTGACTCATGTAACTTCACACAGTTACAGAACAGCAAAGCATAGCTAGACAACTGGGAGAACTGGTAGCTTCTCCATGGAGCAAGGGATATAGTGAATCTGGGAAATTCTTTTAGTGGAAAAAAATGCTGCACACCCACGTGGTGCTCAGTGCTATCAGCTGTGTTGGATACAGTGAAATCAGGTCTGTTTTTTACAACTAGTTACTTATTCAAGGATAGGTTCACTTTTTTTCATTTCTAAGCTAGAAAAGGACTCAATCTGTTCCTTATATCGTTCCAGTATAACCCATATACTGGACAATATATACGGGACAAATCCAAAAGAAAATCTTTGTAGTGCAAAACACGTTCCTTTAAAAAGAAGTCCATGAAAGCAAAGAGAAGACATAGATTCAGAAAACAGCTGGTCGTCAATATGAACAATGGCAGTAACAAACACAAAGCTCCATATAGCATTATCACTTTGACTCTTTAGTACTTTCTATATGAACACAGCAGACTTCTAATAATCATAGTTATCGGGCCTTTCGTCAGCTTTTCACCCATAAATCTTGAAGTTGACCTTTGACTCTGGTGGATGTAAAAGAATTTGAATGGATTGTAAACATGACCCCACTCTCACTCACACTTCATCTATAATAAAGAAATGAATATTACTGATATTAGCATAGCGGTGATAGGAGGGCCCAGCCACGCCTCTGTGATCAGAGCAATAACATCACAGTTAGCAACAAGTTAGCAACATGTGTGACAAAGCAATATAATAAGTCATTGCTTGATTGCTTAATCCTGTTGTTGCTGTGCTGTAAACTGTAAAACAGCTGATGGGACCTTGAGTAATATTATTTGCAAGTTTCACTAAAACTGACCAATAATGGGAACTATGGACGTTGAATGGACACCTTACTGTGCACTTCCTGTGCTGTGTTTGGGCTTTTAACACACCTGAGTCGAGCTTGACAATCTTGATAGCTGCCAGTTCAGACGTCCTGATGTTGCGAGCCTGAAAGGAAAGCAGAATAGTCTTTATAATAAATAACATATAAGAT